TTTTCCCTCCCCCCCCCCCCTTTTCTATTTTTAAATACAGCAACTTTTCAGTGAGTTTACAGTGGATAAAAATCAAAAGACAATAATTTTCTTACTAAGATAAAAAAAAAGACAGCAAGCTACTAACAGCTATCATGTTTGAAGTGCTACAAGATGAGACAAAATATATTCCTGTTGTTGCTGTAAGAGAAACAAGAAACTGAAAAACTAGCAGAGAGCAAAATTAAGAAGTGCTAAGTTAGCCAAGGTAATACAGCTAGTTGCAAAGAACGACTACACAGTGATGTGCATTGCAGCCCTAAATTTATATTAAAAAAAAAAATGTCTTTCAACACAGCTTTAATCATTTAGATTTTACACATCAGTAGATGATTACTTGCCATTTTATAGAATCAGAATGGTCTGGGTTGGAAGGGACCTTAAAGATCATCTAGTTCCAACCCCCCTGCAGTGAGCAGCGACACCTTCCACTAAATCTTCACCTTAATGCTGACTGAGCTCTGTAACTGCCTGACTTCAAACACAGCAACCTGCCTGCCTTTGGTATATTTATACATGTACACATGGAGAAAACAAAAGGTTAGTACTGCAAGTGGAAAAGAAAAAAAAAAAAGAGACAAAAGGGAAAAAAGGAAAAGACACCACACAACATGTTCTGCCTTCAGCAGATAGGACAAGTCTCAAATGGTCTCTAAATAGGCTAAAGTTGAGTTGATCTTACAATTATAGCGTAAACAATGCCTGGGTTGTGGTTATGTTATTTGAAAAGAAAAAAAAAAAAAATCAAACAAAATCTCCAGAGACCTGTATCAACTTCTGTATGTTTAGCCATACCCTTAAAAGTTCACTATTCACTCACAAAGAGAAATAGACAAACATGAATATTCCAAGCGAACAAACACAGACCAGTCCAGCATTTAGTAATAGTTTAACTTTTGGAGTCTCTTCCAACATTTGTAAACAAACAGTCTCTTCCTCAATCTCCCGAACAGCTCTCTTGTTCATGTTTTTACTTTTAAAGCCACAGAACCAATCTATGAATTTCAAATGTCTCTCTCTATCATCAGTCTCTTCCTCACGCTTTTTCTCCCCCATCAAAGCCGCTTGTCCATTTGAATAACAATCAACTGGTGTCTCAACTTCAGAGTGACTCACAGAAATCACCGGGTTGCTGTCATCTCTGCAAGTAACCAGAAGATTGATATCCTCCGGCTTAATATTTTTAATATTTTCTTCTGATTTGCCATTTGGAATGATATGGTTAGCGTTTTCATTGCACTTGAGGATGCTCTTTTCTTGAACTTTGTACAGCTCCCCTTTCGCAGCGTTCTCTTTTACGTTCCTGTTTTTCACGGCCCAGAAAGTGGTTGTCCGCACCTGCTCCTTCGTAGGCGGAGGCGTGAGGAGGCTTACTACAAAGGTCACAATCCCAGTGATCCAGAACAGAGCTGTGGCAACATACATGTAATGGATGTTTTTGATAAAGCTTGGCCTAGTATCCGGCTGGTTACACTCCGGAGCACGATAGATAAATGCCAGTATCAACCGTATCGCTCCAAGAACAAACCCGGCCATTCCGCCATAGAAAGCCCCCTGTTCATTGCAACGCTTCCAAAAGATCCCCATAAGAAACAGAGCTGCCACTGGTGGGGTCAAGTAGTCCGCTACCTCTTGAATATAAAGGTACATCTGACCACCTTGCATTTCTACAATTATCGGGACCCAGGCAATGCTTATAACTACCATGAAAGCAACAAAGACTCTTCCTACAATCATCAGTTCTCTAGAAGTTGCACTCTTCCGAATGAGTTTGTAGACATCAAGTGTGAATATGGTGCTGGCACTGTTGAATATCGAGTCCAAGTCACTCATCAGCGCAGCGATCATCACGGCCATCATCAGTCCCCGCAGACCAACCGGCACAAGTTTCATCACCAAACGTGGGTAGGCAATGTTAGAGCATCCAGCTCTGCTCCCGCAGACTTGAAAACAGTGTTCTGGATTAATGCAGGCAATATCATCTGCAAACAGTATTCGTGAAATCATCCCTGGGACAACTATAATAAACATCGGCAGCAACTTTAAGAAGCCTGCCATCAGAGTGGATCCTTTGGCATGAGCAATGTTTTTTGCAGCTAAAACTCTCTGAACTATGACTTGATCAGCACACCAGTACCAGACAGAAGCTGGGGTCTGTCCCAACAGAAATCCAGGCCAGGGAATATCTTCATCTGTTGGCTCACGCAACATTTTAAGAGCATCAGGCTTTGGGCTGACATTGCAGGAATTGGTATTGGAAATGTTGTAGGTTAACGAGATAGACGTAATATTTGGTGACGCTAACATGTACCTTCTTTTAACTTCTTCAAACCCACCAACCTCCGTAATACTTATGATCATAAGTGTGAGGGCACCAATAATCATAAGCAGAGCTTGAAGGGTGTCTGTGTAGATGACAGCCACAAGACCTCCAGTCACAGTCAACAGTGCAGTCATTCCAATAAGGAGGATAACTGACAAATAGAGGTTCCAACCTAGCGATTCTTGAATAAAAAGTGCCCCTGAATACAAGTCAACCGAGAGTTTGGTGAAGATATAAAGAATTAGAGACAATGCTGCAAAATATATTTGAATTCTATGCCCTCCAAAACGCTTGGACAAGTATTCAGGCATGGTGTATACTCCCGACCGGATGTAGACTGGGACGAAGACCCATCCTAAAAGCTGCAAAAGCATTAAGGCGTTGAATTCCCACGCACCTACTGCAAATCCACTTGCTGCTCCAGATCCTGCGAGCCCAATGAAATGTTCACTTCCAATATTGCTCACAAATAAAGATGCACCAATAGCCACCCAGGTCATAGAACGCCCTGCCAAAAAGTAGCCACTTACGGTGCTCCGATTGTATTTCCACATGGCAAAAAAACCTATGCACATTACCAGCACGAAGTACAGTGCCACAATGGCAATGTCTGCTGTTTCCAAAGAAGCCCTCATTTTTGTAAACAAAATGACTTCACACAGCTGACGTCCACTTCTCGCCCCCCAGCAAAAGTCTTTTAAGCAACACGTGAACCAGTTAACATATATCAACACTGTGGATCAAATTCTTTGTCCCTTGGTTTGCTGTCCTGATGCTGGTGGTAGTGGTACATTTATTTTCTCCGCTTCTCAAATGGAAATTTGGAACTTAGCACGCACTTTTAATCCACATTCCACAAGAGCATCAGCCTTAACTCAGTTGATGTAGGAGAAATTCTTAGTTGCAGCTAAGTTTAGTGAGGCCTACTGTACCAACCCTGCAAGGCAGCAAAGACAAAAGACAAAGATTGAATTAGAGAAGAATTTCATGAAGTAATGAGAAAAAATTTGAAATCTAGTAAAACAATGACTGAACACCACAGATTTTTTTCCCCCTTATACTTCCTGCTGCATTTACGCAATCCATAATAAACGTCATTACATATCTGTAAAACTAAGTAGTAATGCCTTTTGTAAGTCAGCTTTAATGTTTACAGGTACCTTAAGAGACGCAGCAATTCTGGAGTATTAAATAACCCGAATTCCCCAGAACAAGGCAAGGAACAAAAATACATTTTATTTTTCTTTAGTCTCACAAGTCTACTTCTCAAGTCACTAAACAGGCCTTCCTTTTTCAAGCAATCTTAGAGGGTGGGGGGGAAAGAAGCAACCGCTAAGGAGCATTAACCTTGCTAGTCGTTTCCTTAATTGCTCTAGCACTGCACTCCACAAATCTTGATAGATCCTGACATCACAAGCATGCACTTGAGACACCAGCTGGCTGCTAGAGCTAAAATCAAAGTGAAGTCATAACACTGTTGAGAAACAACAGAAGTTTAAGATCAGCTGGAGAATCAAGGTTATTCTGCAGGTTTTAGACAAGTTTGCACCTGTCTGGGGTACAGATCATCACAGGGTTACATTTTACTCCAAATGCTCTTCATACATATCCCTGTCTAATCTACGTGAAGAATAAAGTCCCATTCAACCAAGTGACAAAAGCAAAACTACACCTGACATCCATCTCCAGGGTATTTCTGTCTGACATGTAGGTTTTGATACCCACACCCATGTGGTTTCAGGATATTTGGGAGCACTCTAGGCACACAAGGGAACACCAGTTGGATTTTGGTAGCAGTCAGTTACTAGGATGCCAGGAAGCACTGTTCGCAGCACCGTCCATTTGCATCCAAGCATGAAGAGAATCACATTAACATCAGAGGCAGAAGGTTTTGAGGCAGAACACACCCTACCATTCTATTCCTGAACCCCAAAATCACAAATTCTACCAAAGCATGTCAGGAAACAGGCACTCATTTAGGCAAGCAGGACTGAAGTGCTCAAAGAGGAGGGAAGGGGATAATAAAAAGACTTGCTGGCAGATAACTGGACATGTGGGAAAGGAAAGGGCACTGAAGAGCTGCACACTGGCTCCTACCTCTGTCAGGGAGGTAGGATGCTTCTATCTCATATTTAGGCCTTGGGAGGTATTGTTTACCTATTTCCACTCAAAACCATTTAATGGGTTTAGAGAGTGTTGGACATAAGATTCGTCTACTTCCTACACTGAATGGGGACAACAAGGGAAAAGAAGATCAAAGCAAAGAACCAGTTTAGTTTGAAGATCAGAACACAAATCTTTAGTATCCAAAATTACTACAGAAGACTAAGGAACAGGGTCTGACTCCATTCCTCTTTACCACCCACTAGTAAAGGTAACAGGCACAAAAAGCACTGGCTCTTTGTTCTGACCATAAGGTTTATCAGCCTTAGAAATCTTACAAGTATCATCTTCAGGCATTCCCCTTTTCACTTCATTTTCAAAAGCGTTTTGGCACTATCAAGCTGAAGCTCCCATTTCCTTATTAATTCATCTATGATTAATAAAAACACCTAGATAACATATTCTAGTATTTGGCTGGTTTCCTGTTCAGCAGCCCTGTAGCATATTCATTTTGTTAAAAAAAAAAAAAATTCTCAGATCGTAACAAAAACTATAGTTAAGGTTAAAAACACACACACTCCCCCCTCTGCCTTACTCTGTGCATTACTGAAGGCAGCAATGCTGCTGATGTCAGAATGTGCACTTCTCATTAAGGCAAATGTATTTTTAAAAACAGCAAGCCACAACTTCAGCCTTAAGGAGAAATTCACAATTGTGTTATTCATACAAGCTGGCTGTTTTTCAAGAGTAGCTCAGAACCAAAAAAAAAAAAAAAAAACAGATAATCAGGGTTCCCCACCAACACCACAAACCCACATGAGAATACAGATATTCTTCTGCTGGAGCTATAGCCAATAATGAGAGACTACGGAGACATGGCAGAAAATGGACTGATTACAGTAGCGTGCTAAATTTATCATGTTCATAAGCCTCAAACCACAGATGTATTTTAAATTCTTCCACAGAAGAATTCACGTGTATCCCCACTTCACAAATGCAGAAGTTAAATAGTCTACTAGTTTAATCCAACACAAAATTATAAACACTTCAGATCATATGACGCCACCAGACGCAAGTATAATGTGCTATTCTTAGTTTTAAGCACTTTTGAGTAATACTTTCATAGTGTTGCATCTTTTACTAAATTCAGCTAAATTTTCAATTGCAACTACATTATAATGTTTATATCAAAACTATAAATATTTTAAGGGAAAGAAGATAGTTTACTGAGACACAGTAGAAGGACTACTATACAGAAAATTAGCAAAATGGGCAAGCTAAAGAAATAGTAATAACCAGTAGTTTCCCTCTTCTATAGTCCTACTCTGTCACCAAAAAATGTTAGACTTGAACATTAGTTCATTTCCCAACATCTTCCCTGTAGGTTAAGCAATAACCTTGCAAAACTATACTGTATAGTAATATGCATAAATCTAAAATATTTGTTAAAACTACATCTATTTGATCCAAGGCACTCAGCTCATAGTATGACTGACTATTACAAGCACGGTCATTCCCTCTGAAAAGTGTGTAAGTAGAAGATGCAGCTGCCCTTGAATAAATTGTGACATTTCTCAATTAGGATACTGGCCAAACTACTATGGGCTCATTCTAACCAAAATAAACACCACATGAATTTTCTTGAGCATTTTCCACTGGGATAGCCAGACCATGCATTTGAAATAATCAGCCTACAGAGACTTGAACCATCACCTTTGTAATCAACATCTGAATTTTGCAGGGTTCAGCTTACTTGAGTAGGAAGGTAGAAAGTTTTCAGTAGCCGCTACAAATTTGCTGCACTGTCACTAAATTACTGTACTAAAGTAGTTTCTTGTACCAGTTTCTAATTAGACCTAATTCGAAAATAACCCTGGAAATTTTTTTCATTACAAAAATGAGACTCATCTCTCTGAACTTTTCAGCAAGTTATGACCTCAAGTCTTAAGAAGGACTTTTGAGACGCCTCATGCGAGTTTAATCTTAAGTTATTAGAACAGCGTACATTGCGGCACTGACACAAAAAAAGACAGAAAGACAGCACTGCTGCCAAGGACTGTGAATTTTTTTCCCCCTAAGGCTGTTTTCAGGCTGGATCATATCAAAGACACAAAACAATGTGCTTCCCTCTTGTCTGAAGATAGAGGGCTACAGCTTTGGTGAAACAATGCATATGCCTTTCCAACAGGCAGCCTTTCCTTTAAGAAAAAAAAGTCTCAAGCAATTCCCTGAAGAGATATGAGATAACATGAAGCAGATTTAGGGTGGGATTTTTAAGAGAAATTTGTACCATTGTTTTAAAGGAAAACTTTCTCCACGGTGCTTTTCTAATAAGACAGGTCTTTAAATACACCAGAATCAAACTGCTCCAGCCCTAAAGTAGCTATTTGTTTTTATTTGTTAATTTGAGGATGCAGATGCCCACACATCACACAGCATCCACTCCTATCATTTGTTAGCAAATTAAGTATATATTTAACTTGGTTCACAGACTTCAAAGTAGTTCTGAGGTTCTTAGAAACAACGTGTTTTTTCTCCACCTTCTTCAAGCAGGGGTATGTTAACTCATACCAGTAGCATTTTATCGACTGAACAATTCACTTGCATGGAAGAAGTGTACCCAGATTGCCAGGCTCAATAACTAAACAGAAAATATTAACAATATCTCTCCTGGAAAAAAAAAGAATAAAAGTTTCAAGCCTTGAGCAGGCCTGTACAACACTCAACACCTTGAGTGTGTTGTCTGGCCTGCTCACGCTGCAGACTACCTGCTGCGGACACGAAAGTGAGTTCCTACCTGTCCACTGCTCCACAGTAAACACAAGGCTGTTTGAGGGAGTCCCTCTCTCAGAGAAAAAAAAAAAAAAAAAAGAAAAAAAAAAAGGAGGAAAAAGCTTTGTTCTATTTACTGCAACACTCTAGAACACAAAAAAAAAAGGAGCACAAATGTTCTTCGTGGAACTACTGATATATATCAACTTATCCTTAAGTAGTACATGCCCTTGAGAAAGCAGGCACTATCCTTGCCAGCTCCTCAACAGAGCCCTAAGCAACCAGGACCACAGTTTCATGATTTTCCCTTGTAAACCAGGAGCTGGGGCAGAGGAGCCAGGCAGGAGTCCTACCTGAGACAAACACAGTTACATCATAGGAAGCAGGAAAACTCAGAGGCAGAAGCTGACCTGTAGCACCTAACAAGTAACTTGAGTTAAGGTCTGGTCTGGCATTCCCAGCAGCTCAACAGGCTGGTCTAGAAAAGCACCACATTTACAAGTTACCTGAACCAGCAGTGACCTGACTAACCTGTGTGCCACACGTGCTCTGCTGCCTCAAAGTGGTATTGCATCAACACTTCTGCTGGCCTTGAAGAACACAGGTGCCGCAGAGGCAACTCTATACATCATCACTACCATCCAAGTCCAATTTGAGGTGCAAGGCTCAAGTCAGTCACTCAAAGGAGTTGTTACGAACATATTATGCACTTATTTTTGTCTGGGGTTTCAGGAACCGCTCCAGTTCTGGTCTTCATTTTACTGCAGCATCAGAAAGAGAAGCTTGCTCCACCATACATTCTTCTCAATTCTTTTCTAGAGGACTGCTGAAGGAGACATGAAAGAAATAAGTAACCTGACAGCATGCAGCTCAGCAGAAGAAAC